TACAGAATTTGAGGTTGGCTGCAAAAGGGACATAGTACCTTTAAGAGCTTTGGTTCAGTAACAGTCCACAGTCGTTGCAATATAATGTAGATTTGCAGTCTCACTTACAAATAAACAAACAATCAAACAAACAAATATCAATCCAAAATATCAAATTAAATGCAGCCTAAAATGGGGATAAAAATATCACAAAAAGAGACATTCTTCTGGATCTGATCCTCAAAAAAAAAAAGAAGACCTACAAAACAAATTTAATAGCAAATACCCCCAAGATTTCATTCTTATCTCTTTTCAATGATACTCATCTCTTGGTTGAGGATAACTATTCACATTGGGCATCTCCTCTGCAGCATTAGTCAATTCCAAATCATCTCCAAGCAGCATTCAATTAAGCCAATTAAACACCTATAAATAGCATCTCCAGGCGATGATTAATTGATAGAGTTGTCAATTAGTTCTCCTCCTATATCTTGATATGTTTATAGCTAGCTATTACATAACCACCTTACCCTAATCACTATTTACATGAACATGTATTGTAGGTATTCATACAGGGCAGTACTTGTACTTTGGAGCTGTCTAAACTAATAAAATATATTTTCTTCTGTTGACTCTGCCTCCTTCAATCTTGAAGATTCTTAAGATATTAAGTGCATGGTGTCATATTAACATAGTTTTATTGATGGTTTGAATTTGCTTATAATATGAAAGGCTTCTTGTCATACATTGTACACATTTGTACAGAGTAAAGATGGGGGAGATAATTAAATATAGAAAACCAAAATCCAGAGGGCATGCCAAACAAAACCAACCTTTAAAACTAAACCATAAGGAGAAATAAAGGAAAATATGCCTGGTAACATTGTCTTTCACCATCTTTCATGGTCTTGTATATACTCCTACAATTAAAACATACACAGTATATATATATATATATATATATATATATATATATATATATATATATATATATATATATATATATATATATATACTAGGGTCATCATAATTCATTACTTGATCTCAGGGCCAGCTAGCTTCACAATCCAGTGACTTGACCAAACACTATAGGAAACCATTCAAATCAAAAAGGCTCTTTTGAATACCTCCTTTTGGAAGTCTGGCATAAGCTGCAGTTTCCTATTGTCTCTGTCTTTACAAACCAGCCAAAAGAAATCTTTTCAGCTTGGTTTACTCTCCTATTGTGACGGAGCCACAGAGAGTGGGTCAATTGTACCTTCCAACGTTTACTTTTACCCTCAACAAAAGCGTTCTATTGTCTATCTAGTCTTTAGAGGGAGTATACTCCTGGTGGAGAGAAAATGGAAGTATATCCAAGCTTGAAGTGGGCTTGGAATCTTTTATAATGACAAACCTTGGTCATCAAAGAACCCCTGTACTGTCAGAGGCAGAGGCTGTACATATAGAGAAGCCATTTCTAAACATAGAAATAGAATTAGAACTGTTGATTCACTCTGAAGCTTCAAGCAAAGCAGAGTTGTATGCTAGCTACTACCTGCAGACCTAAATGAGTTTGTGTCATTTGTTTATTTGTGTACATGTATGCCCCCACCCCCTCCAATGGCCCCAACTCTAATGTGTTTCTTTTTACAACATTTTCTTTGCCAATTATCCTGTAGTGTGAGCATTTTGTAATACATGTACATTGCATAATGTACGGTAGTCATATGCATATTCCCATGAGTTTATATGCTTGTCATCTATCCCAACATAAATGAACTCTTTGTAAATCAAGCTCATGCAGCCTGTCACAGTAGCAATATCTGATAGCCTGCCAAACGAATATCAATTAGAAAAAAATAGCTATAAATGCATTTAATGCAATCCACTACCCTGGTAGATTACATTTCGAAACCATTTAAAATCTATGAATAGCAATAGTCATAGATAGCATATAGAAATCATAATCTTAAAAAAGAAGAAACAAAAATAAACAGCAATTACATGGATTTACTACATGTATATCATTGCTCTGCGTAATGGGGCAATGAATATGTGTGCAGATTGGAATATATGATTATTTCTTTTAGCCTTTCCTTTGAAAAAAAATTGATTGGTTGTACCAGTATGCAAGTTCACCATACAAGGAAAGCAGGTAGTACAAGGCTATAGGCTTCTGTCATTTCTGATACAATATTTTCTTTAATCATGGGAATCTTTTTCAGTCCTTGTCACAGCAATGTTTAAGGCTACAATAACGCTGCTTCCCATCACTTTTATAGAAGAAAAAAATCTATATTCATAGCTTGCGCCAATCTAAACATGCCAGCGCAGACATCTCCTTGAAAGTAACCAAGCATTGACACTTGTCTGCCTTTAAGTTAGCTCATATTAATTTACACACATTCACTGCCTTTCTGGCTTTAAAGAGATGTATAATGGAGGCCGCATATAGCTTTTTGAACTTTCAAGAATTGTCCTACTTTTAAATATTGTTAAAAAATGCTTGTTTGACAAAGTATTGTATGAATTTCATTTTCATGACTTGTTTCAAACTCCCCTCTCTCTGAGAGCACTTGAGGCATCTTCTCTTGCAGGAAACTGTCCTTTAATTCATAATAATATTCAATATGTTCTGCATAGATTACCCCCATTCAAAGAATGGATCAACCACCAGTTGCAGAGATAAATTGAGCTGTATTACATGACAGGTGGATTACCCATCATTGTGTTATACAATACAATCAGATTCCCTAGAAGATTCCATCACAATGAAGACAGGGGGTACACCTCTGCCCCTTTCCATATACTCTATGGCCCTAGCAAAGAACCCTAGAGGGGCTGCTGCTCTATAGAACAACTCGTAAAACTAGTTCAATGTAGAAAAAACAGATAAAGTATGCCTATTGAATGGTACAACAAGTGTGATTCATGTAGTCCACAATCTTATCAATGATTTGATCAATTTTGAGTCATGAATAACGTGTGATTAGATGAGGACATGAACAGTTGAACACTGAACTGAATGGTGAATTATAAACCGTACATGAAATGATGAGAGGGCTACATGTACATGCACATATTGTAAATTAAAACACGTTTTACACGTGTTCATTGGTACGAAAAGAAACTGATTTTGATCATATGAAGCATTTTTAATCACAAATCAGCACAAACATTTCCTAACATATTTCACATGCAAGAACCTGCACGTATCCAAATGTATGAGACTTTATTCTGAGATATTATCCCAGCCAAGCACTTCCTATGACTACTCTTGAGTTGGGTAAATACACTGTACAAATACTGAGTACCCATTGGAATATATTTTTCTAAAGGATGAACTTTCCAAAGCGCACAGGCTGTTTACAGGTTTGGTGGACACAGAGCAAAGAACTCCCTCAAGAAAAGTATCTAAAAATAAATAGTACCTGCACAATAACAAAGTAAATAGTGTACTTCAGATTAGAAATAATACAATACATCCCCGAAGACTTGGTTTGGACCATTACACAACTGCTGGTTACATTACAGTAAAAATCGAAGTGATTAGTTTCATTTTCTTTTGATCTGATTAATTTCTGCCAATAAAAAGTTCATCAAACTTAGAATATGGAGGACAAATTGTTCTTACATATATACCGGGGTAAAGCAATTATTCTATGGATGATCAATGATTTCAGGCAACATTTTTGGCAGTTGTCAAGAATGTTCAAGGCCCGAAGTAAACATACATGATATAACTTTTATTGTTTTGTGACAGTTACACCCATTCCGTAATCTTTGAATCTAGATTTCATCACAACTTACATGGTGCAGGTCTGTACATTTTTCTCATATATCTGCCTTTAGATGTTATCAACTGTCCAAATATAATCATGGCGTGACTATGTTTAATCGCAAGGCACCATCTCTTGCTTATGCAAAGTGTACATGACAACCACTGACCTACAGAACATGATGGAGTATATGCAAAACATCTATAAACAATGTACTTTGGGGAAAGGACCTTCAATATCACTAATTCCAGAATCCTTCTTTTAAAATGATTATAGCAGTCATTTCTATTCTCTCCATCAAGTAAAAGATGAGCCAAAGTCAAATACATCAAATATTTATGTTTGATTAAAAAAATCAATGTCTGTAATTAGGTTGTATGTAATATAAGTTTGCTTTTTAGAAAGTTTATTCACACAAACATTGTCTTTATAAATTAATAAAATCATGATTGTTGTATTGTTATGGATTCAAGGACTTGATGTTTGTTTTTTTCTTTCTTTTAGAAATTCCTTTTAATTTCATCTTTAAAAGTCATTATATACAAAAAAGTATTATTTCCACATATTCTAAAGGTATCATAAAAGAACATCATCAAAGACAACATCAAATACAGTAGCTTCTGGACAAATAGGTGACTGGTGACGAGAAGCAGGAAGTAATTGAAAGTCAACATTTCCGTCTATTATTTCAATGAACGATGTATGCACTCTATTACAAAAACATAAATGACATGCCACGTCATGCACCAATACAAGGCGTCGTCTTGTGTTTGTACATTCATGAATGTACATGTACGTCATAGAATTCAGAATTTTACATATTTGCAGTCTCACAGTAGAACAGGAGACAAAAGGTTGTCACCAATCAAGAATATATATCATAGAATAGAATGTAGAAATTGATATATTTGCACTCTTACAATAGAGCATGAGACACACAGACATATTTTTATGAAAACTGGAAATGGAAAACAAATGGGGCTCCATTCAATTAAGGATGCAGGTACTTGGCTTGCTTGTAAAAGAAAGTGAAAAGGGTAGTGGAAGAAAGATGTACAACCTGTATGAAGAAAGAGAAGAAAACATTCAAGGAGGGAGAGAGAGAGAGAGAGAGAGAAGAGAAGAAAGAGAGAGAGAGAGAGAAAGAGAGGGGGAGAGAGAGGGGGAGGGGTAGAAGAGGAGACATGCCTGAGGGCAGTGAGAAAGAGAATGTGCTATATCAAATCAGCCGTCTATTTTAAGGATTTGATTAAGACTCACCAATGGAAGTAAACACCCAGGTTTCTATCTGGAGGGAAGAATCGATTCTCAATGAAATACAACTGATTGTAGTATTCCAGCAGCAGCTCGATTCCTTCCTCATTTCTCTTTGGAGTTCGTATCGACTGCAAAACAGACAGGAAAGAGAGGGATATAATTTGGTTAGGAAGGACTCATTTACAAACAGCATGGTGCATAATTTTATCTTCGCTTCAAACTTGGCCAAACTTTGAGAAAACACTTCAAAATTGTTGCTATTGATTATAGAATTGTCCTTTTCCTGTCTTTCTACCAAGTTCCATGGATATGTAACCTCCTTCTTTCTAAGGTATTATACTATTCTAAATGGATTTGATATTTTAATCATTGAATTTCAACTTGAATTTCAACTTGTTTTGAGAAACATAATCACCTGGACTAACATTGTTGTCTTCATAATCTTCTGATTTTTAAACATACCATTCATTTTTCTTCTTCCATAATTGCAGTGGTCTCATTTCAATTTCACGTTGTTCTTTAATAGATAGACAAACCTGATAAGCCTCTTAAAATGATGGTACGAAATAGGTTAATACAATCTGAAGAATTTGTCTTGCAATCTTCTCTTCTTACCTGTCTGAGTTCTGCCAATTCTTTGATTTCATTCTCATATTTGTCTGCATCTGCACTGTAATGTTCTAGGATATAGTCCTATATAAAACAGAAAGGGGGAAATAAAGTTCACATTAGTATAAAATCGACACAGCATTGAAGTTGATATGAATGTAATGAATGCAGACTCTTGCAAAGATATCTTGTTTTTATTGCACAAAAGTTACTGTGAAAAATGTGCCATCTTGAGAAAAAGATGTATTTATTTAAAATAAACTGATACTACCCCCCCCCCTCCCCCAACAAAAGAAAAAGGAAAAATGATATTGAAAACATTTCACACAGCTAGAAATGTTTTCATCCCCATACATGTATGTCATGTCCATAAAGTCTCACTTCTAATGTATTTAATGTATTTAATATATTTTTCATACTTTTGAAAAAAATGGATATTAAAAATTGCTAGTTTGATGAAAGAGCCTGTCAAAATACAAGTATGGCCTGCATAAAACACCTTTCCATAAATTAAAAAATAAGAAAATTACGATAAAATGATCACGTTAATTGGTCTCTTAGGAACACCTTTGATAAAAGGATCATCTTCATTTATAATGAGGGCATAATTCATTTCACTTGATGACTGCCCTGTCATGTGTTCTATTATTATGTGGACCCATCCAATCATCATTACTATCGTGGCTGACATCCATATGGTAGTGCTTAGCCTTGGCAAATGGGCTCATCATTCAAATAGATTACAAGCATTTCAGTTTGGAAAATAATATACCGGTACATGTCCATCTGTGTGACTATAATGTTCTTCAAATAAGAGAAAGATGTACATGTACATACATGGCTAAATATTTCAGACTAGAAAATAGAACAACTCAATTTTGATCAAAATAATGGATGCTTCTTTCATCAAGTGTTTAGAGATAAAAATGATTCTCCCATTTCTGGGTTTGTTTTTAGTCAAATAATTACGCTGCTGATTGCATATTATTTGTATATAAAACCATTTCTTGGTAAAATACCTTTAAGACATTCTACATGTATGGCTTTAAAATAAAAATGTAACATTCAGATTTAATTTTGGGAAATAGCGGGCTATTTTGGAAACAAGACCTAAGATTTCTCAGGATATTTTCTTGACCAAATAAGCCGCTAATTGCAAATGTGGGCTGATGAAGGCAGCTGTCTAATTTGAGATCGGGCTAGTTGAAATAGCAGGTTGGTTTGCAACTTCAGTCTGATGAAAACAGGCCTTATGGCTAACAGAGGTTTTACTGCTTAGCCCTAGAAACTATGTAATTTGTCTGTTTGGAGCCAGAAGGGCGTTCACTCTGTGTTAATAAAGCATATGAGTTAATGCCCTTCTGGCTCCAAACAGGTAATATCATCATCATACATTCTACAAACATGCAACATTATCATCCTGATTACTTACCGTGAAGGCGACCCTGGCATCCAGCTTCTTTGTTTCTTTGAGTCCGAGAGGGATGAGAGGAATGCTCCTCATGTAGCTATCATTCTGGTATGCTTCCACATCACTGTTAATCTCCGCTAGCTCCTCCTTCAGGAGCTGTAGATTGGAGTTGACGAAGCTCAGCTCCAGGGCTACCTGCTCCTTCAGTTTACGATTGGATGCAGCTCTGTAAAAGTGATAGAGATAGTAAACGATTAGAAACTTGTTTGGATTATGATGGATAATAGTACAGAGCTTGCCTGCTTAAAGTGACTCTGTAACATTGCCTCAGATTCTTAAACAAAACCCTGGATTTAGCTCATGCTGAAATCTTAATTATAAACCTTTAGGTCAGTCAGGAATCCCATGACTTTAACAAGCAGATAGCTTGTCTGATTATCAAGATATTTATGATTGGAAATCAAAATTTCATTTTTCTTTTTCCTAATGGTTTTTATTACACTAAAATCTATTGGGGAAGATGAGTAAAACCAGTCACTCATAGATTTTTGGTTTTAGGAGGGACTTCATGATCATTTTGAAGCGCAAGTTTTTAGGGCTTCAATAATACAATATATCCCAGACACTGATAACACACAGGGCCATGTATCTCAGATTTAACATTGTTAAATGATGCCTTTAAAGGTTGTTATCATTCGATGCAATAATGCACAATAGGTTACAGCCCTGTAACAACCAAATAGTAAATGATTATAACATTAAGAGCTAACTTTTATAAACATTAATTAAGATGTACATGTTGTACACGTATATACAACAATGAAAAAGAGCTCTTCCTGCTTATAGAAGATAATTGTTCAATCTACATCAGATATGGATTAGACAAAATGAAAGATGCAATACATTATGCTAAGTATCATTCCATCTATGCTCTATGACTAGAGAATTTCAATGAAAGAAATCAGTACATAAAAATAAATCTTTCCTCTCTTGCAAATATGATAAAATATTCTTTTTTTTTTAATGCAGGGTTGTGCAACACACTCATCCATATATATGACCACACAAAAACAAACATGATTTCATCACACATTCTGAGAGCCGAAGAAGGATGCATGAATGTACTTATGGATACAAGCACATTGAGCTTTCAAAGGGCTTTATTCCAAAATACCCATGTTGTAGATTAACTTATATTTTCTCTGAGAGTATTAGTTTTTGTTTTGGTAATATTCATTTTGTCACCTTATTTGCTTTTAGTGCAGGATCTACATGTACACTTCATTGTAGAAGCAGAACATGTGAGATGTGCGCTTTACTTGTACAAATATACAAGGCTCCCTCGCTGATACCCGGTAATCTTTATCACGACTTCCTCTTCTCTCAAATTGATTTTTTCCTGATTGAATCATTTTTGGTAGAACTATCTTCTATAATTCATCACGTCCTTTCCTGATTGAAGACCATTTTCCTTTATTGTCAATTTTTTTAATGCAGATTTATGGGCACAATTTAAATTCCTTTGAAAATAAAAGTACCACTTATCATTATCAAACCACAACCCTAACCACCAGACAAGTCAATTGTTGATTTTGACCTTTTTTATCATATGAAAATCTGAAAGGATGACTAGTACACAACTTATCTTAATCAAACTATTCATTGATCAAAAAGAGATCTTTATTTGTGATTTAAAACCTCAATACCTTAAATCTGCAACGTAGTTTAGTTTACACATAGTGCGAGGCCACAAGTTTATGAATTTACAACGTTTAGTCCAAATGGACTCAGTGAAGTCTTCTGTGGCATAACTACAGGTTGTAAATCCTTATCACAAGACAAACACAACTACTGCAATCTCTTAAAGTCTTTGTATGCCTAATGGATTATTATAACTGTCATTAAGTCGTTTCAATCAGATTATGCAATATACAGTTGTAACTTGTACTACCGGTAAGTCTACACTGTCAAAAGTCACTCAAAACCAGAGCAAAATATTGCATACTGGAAAAAAATTCCAAATGAACATACATTCTTGTTGTACTCTCATACCCCAGAAGGGGGTCACAAGAGTCAATAAATTCTATTCTATTCTACATCCAAACATAACAAAAACACTGCTGACAGTCTGATAATAATTAAAGTCCAAATAACATTTTACATGGCTTTTAAATTTTGATGGAGGACGATTGATTTAAAATAGGAATAGGATGTGCAAATTCTACCAAACAAGGTTCTAAAGCTGACACCGCATAAATAGTCATACCGGTACTCTTCTTTCATAAAGAGAACACTTTTTTGAAAGTACAACTTTGTAGTGCACTTTTGCGATTAAAATGGGATATTTAGTGATTTCTAAAGGATATTCTACTATAAATCGAAACCACAAATATCTTTGTGAGGTACTCTCCATACACGGGTGGATTTCCGAAAGCAATTGAACCTGTGTGGTTGTCAGGTAGCCTCATTAGTAGGAGGAAGTAATGAAGAGAGCGGTCAATCAGCAACAATCCTCACAAACAAGCCAATTTCCCCTGCCGGCCTGCATGCGACTAAGTATCAAAGAGACGTGAATAAAGTGCAAGACACACACTGCATGGTGTTTTTTTTTGCTATGGGCACCATTATGAATCATACAGTATCATATTGAAGGAATGTTCACACTGACAGACTCTTGAAAGAGCTTCATACATGTAGATAAACTCTTTTTCCCCCTTCTCTCAGTGGAAACCAAAAGTCAAGGGAGCCCTTCCAGGATTTTCTGCTGTAAATGAAAGTGGGATTTCCCTGCAATGATTAATCTAATAGTTTTTTATATATAATATTTGTTAAATGTAATGCTTCCTGCAGGCGCGGATCTACGTGGGGGGGGGGGGTTTAGGGGGTTTAAACCCCCCCCCTTGGGCGGCCCCCCCCCCAAAAAAAAAAGGGGAAAAAAAAAGGGAAAAAAAAAGAAAAAAAAAAAGAAAAAAGAAAGAAAAAAGAACGCACGCTGGAGAGAAACCCTTTCAAGTGCAAATATTGTGAGGAGATATTCAACTCAACTTAACCAAACACATGATAACTCTGGATATAACTGTGTATTTAACTGTTACTTGATTTAAAAAGACGTTATCATGCACTGCTTTTTATGGTCTCCATTGTGTTAATAGATGCCAGGAAAACATCACTTACGGGGTTCAAATAAACACCCAAAAAAAAATCGGTTCGCCGCTTCGCGGCTCGTGGACGATGCTCCGCATCGTCATTATTGGTCAACCCCCCCCTTAGCAAAAAGCTAGATCCGCCCCTGTCCTGGGAGAAATTTCATCGTGACTGTGCCATGTACCACTGACGGCCTGGTGGTAGAGTCGCTGCCCAGCAAGCAGTAGATGGCAGGTTCAAATCTCGCTGGTTCCAAGATTTTTTCTGACTTGTTTTTCAATAACAGATCGATCTTATTTACTGGGTGTACATGTAAGCCACAAATATGTGTAAAAAAATATTTGTTATCTTCCACAATTCTTTTAGAGCTTTCAATCGCAAAATAAGTCCAGCTTCTGCATATATCTTAGTTATTTTCTTCATCTATTTATCTGTGTATTTATTAGCTACATGTTTATGAACACATCATGAACTTTAAGGCCATACATACATGGACTTAAATGGATGTTAAAAACCAGACTTCTGGCTCTGTTTATGGGGACACTCTCCTCTAAAATGATTGCATCAGTCAGCATTATCATCCCAACTGATCTTTGCTGATACACATAAAGAATTAAACCGTGGACTGTCTCCACCAGGGCTGGCTATAACTGGTCTCATCGTTCGGATTAATCTAAGATCTCAGGACCCATCTCTGTAAAACGATGAGTCAACCGCGAGGGAAGGGTCTTAAAGGCAGATCTTGAAGACATTCAATTTGATGGAAGAAATTGAACAGATTAAGTTAGATTGATCAAATCAATTACTTGATTAGACTACCACTAGAGAGAGTATAAAAAGATCTTTAAATGAATTTGAGGCTGATGACTGAAATAGTTTTAACTGTAGGTTTGCATCAGGCTCAGTCAAGATCTTTTCAAAGCAACTCTGGACAGTTTGCTGTCATCGTCTTTCCTGCCTAAAGGGGCCTTACTTTGTACGTGGATCTACATTATGTACTTTATGAAGCCTATACTAAACACTACATACAACTGAATTTAAAAAGAAAAAATATAACCATTTTCTTTTACTTTGGATATTGAGCACAAGATACATTTTTATTGAATCCTCATCTCTGAATAATTAAGGTATCTTAACTCAGTACATAAAAAAACTTCTGTAAAAAGTAGGAAGAGAATGTTATACTGTACATGTATGTATGGGAAAATTTCTTTGAAAATTATAGCAATGTTTATTAGTTAACTTTACAAAAAACAGCAAAATAAGCAAAATCTGTTTGGTGCGAAACTGTACTAGCAGGAACCTTTATTTTCACACTTTCATAAATTGGGTTTATCCATGAGAGGTGAGAAAAGGTACGGTACTTCAAAAAAACAAGCGACGATCGATCAATATGTAAGAATGGATCTGTCAGGACAATACATGTAGGTCATTTAAGGTTCACAAACTTTGTCAAAGAGCTCTACTTGTACATTGCTCTGCAGTAAAATAAAGAATGAAATTGAAAACTGTTAAAAAATATAAAAAAATATTTAGGCCTACATGTACCAGTACACACTATTGGTAATGGTAAAATCTTATGGTTCTTAGTGATATTAATTACATTTTCATGTGTATAAGTACTTTAAACAGTACACAATGTTCTTAAATGTTACTATTGTAGGTTATTAATTCGTCGCTGTTTTCACGAAGTGACGGTAGTGAATAAAATTGCATTCACTTTGCGTTACGATTTTCCTCACTACCGTCACTTCGTGAAAACAAGGACGAATTGTTCTCTTTTTTTTCTCCTTTACTTCCAGTAATATCTTGTGTAATTTATTGGTGCACGTACAAACTACAAAAACGTGTGGGAAATTCAGGACTTTTATTTCTTTTCTAGAATATATGTATGTATGAACATAAGATTAATAATTTAAAGATTAGTGGGTTTTTTTTTTAATGACTAAAATAAACTTGCTGACATACAAGCATACAGAAGGCACCTGCAGTGTATAATATTTCTGTTGGCACATTCTACACCATTGATTACTTTTATCCCATTAACAATTTTTATCCAGCTTTATATGAAGGTTCAATACACTGATCAATAATTGCTTGACCCTTTCCTTTACAAACAGGCTAGACAGGTGATACTATCCAGGCCTGTGCTCACCAGTAGGCTGCTATTGATTTACATTTTCATTAACAAAAACACAATTTGCCATGTGGCAATATACATGTACATGTATAGCATCCTCTCCATGTAAAGTACTCCCATAGTGTACTGATATTTTCTATGCTGACACTTGCTCAGTGCTTTATTTGGTCAAAGATGAAATTACTGTATACTAATTAGGGTTAGGGTTAAAGAGTTTTTAAGGTACATGTTTTACTGTTTTCACACTGGCAATATTTTTCTTAACCCCGTACTATAGGTGGGGTTAAGCCTATTCCACTCTCTGTTCAGACTGGCTTTTACCGAAGTGGGCTAAAGTTGGTCAACCCCACCTATAGTACGGGGTTAACTAGCCCTGCAAAATAGCAGGGCTAACTCCTGTTAACCCCGCAATTGCGGTGCCAAGCAAATGAATGAGAACAGAAATGAAAAATAGTCCAGTACTACGCAATGGAGCGTATCGCAGCTGGCCAGATGGGAAGTATGCCCAATCATAACATTCACGATATCCAGGGTTAACGAATTGCAGTGAGAACAACATGAATTTTCTTATTCCGCAATAGGCGCTAGTACGGGACTAAAAACAGCATGTGTGAAAAGCCAAAAAAAATAGTCCGGGGTTAAGGATAGTACGGGGCTAAGCAAAGTACAGGGTTAAGCAAAACCAGTGTGAAAAGAGTATAAGTTTAAATTTTGGGTATGGATAGGAATAATGTTAGGAGCAGCAATGAAGTTGGGAAATTGATTAGAATATGATTCTGACTGCAGAGCATACAGTACAATGTACGACCCCTCTCCACAAGGCAGTGACTACCGGTAGTGAAAGAATATTTCATGGAGACCTGTCAAGAATTATGATTCTAAACTTGCTTTAACAATTTTTGATCACAAATCTCTCCTTCATTTGTCAAGGAACCAACTTTGCTTGGTCGAAATATAATTTTTAAAATAATAATTGCTTGGAAAATGGGCAAGTATCATACAATTTTAAGGCACATATCAGGTTCATATGGGCCTACATGTACATGTACAAGCAAGTCCTTGGGCTGACTGCAACAAGAATAATACCAAATAGACCTATGCTACATGTAAGTTGCTTTGTTTTCTGATCAATCCTCTTGTGTTGTTCAAAATATGGATTTGGTGACACAACCTGGCCCCCTGTGCTGCCCCTGAACTTCAATCAATTGTCCATTCAAGAACAAGATAAGAAGGGCTTGTCAAGACAGGAAGAGCTTAAATTAGCAATTAAAACTAATCCTATCATACAATATCAGCTTATTAAACAACTAGCCTACTAGGCCTACCTACAGTGTACCTCATGTCCAACAATGTGTAAAGGGGGGGGGGGGGGGTCGGTTACACAGAAGGGAGATTCTGTAATTAATGCTCATTGATAATGAGGGCTAACAGACAAATACAAAGAAGCATACATGTACAATGTAGTAGACACACTTAACAACACATGCTGTCGTAAACACATCTACAGACCTGAACACGGGATGCAGACAGCACCACATGTCTACAGTCAAAAACATTTTAGTCCTGCTACTCCTGTGTAAAATGAACAAAATGATGAGTTAAAATGAACACCATTTTCCTTACGAGTTTTGAAAGCTGCTGTCAACTTGCATGGGACCCTCTTCATGATGAATACTTGAAACAAATAAAATTGTTCAGGTACATGTATTTGAATAATATTGGTAGAATCAAGAATGCATTAATCCCCTGATCAGGCCAAAAGGAATACCCATATTTTAGATCTGGCGAACCCCAATTGTTTTCCCTCTACATTACTCCATGGTTTCCCCAAGCTTCTGTTCATGTTGGAGACACTAAAATGAGCTTTGATAATTTTAAAATTCCTCTAGTCTGAGATAAAAGAGGCATGTAAGAAATGTTATGGCTGTCTTTTTCTGTCCCCAATAGACCAGCATACCAGGTACATGTTCTCTGTTCTATTTTTCAGATGGGTTATCAAAATATTGAATACTGCAAATCAGTTTCATCATGTACACACAGTATTTGCATACCCCTATACATTGTAAGCTGCTTTGTCTTTAATATGTCAAGGAAAGAAATGAAACATGCTCTACATTCTGATGATAGGGTGAATATTTTTTTTTTTTTACTAAAGTTGACTTTTCCAAATTTTGGTCAACTAGACGGAAAATCAAAGATCAACCAGCTGGATGCCAACATCTCTCTACAACTGCTCTCATCATGATCTCATGCATTCTTGTTTGCAAAATCTTCATACCAGAATCCCTAGATCGATAGATCCAAAGTTACACCAAAGTGATACTTTCTACATGTAGTCTATATATGTAAAGGTAATTATGGGTATCTATAGGCCCAAATATGCAAAGAATGACATCAATTCCACATGACCTCAGTCATAGCTGAACCTCTCAAATCAGCATGACATGACCAAGCAAGCACAGACCCGTGCACCTCACCAAACCATGGTCCTGAACTAGAATATAAATGATTTATTAAACACAACAGAGCCGCTCCTCATTCTATTGTGAAATTCCATTCTTCTTATTTACTCAACCATGATTCAACACAAGGCGCGATACGCTGGGTAAACATTCTCCTTTTGAAAGGCGTGTTGAAGTGGGAGGCGTGTGCTCATAAACGTAGGCCCCATGTATAGGTTGTTTCGTAGAATAAATAATAAAGGGCGGCCCGTTGCTATCTATACACAGGTGATTCATTAATGGAATTTGTCTGACAGTATTTCAAGAATGACTTCCGGTGGCGTAAGAAGTCAATGGACGATGAATATGCAGGAAGTTATGAATTTATTATGATGCAGAAATGACTAAATATTTGTATTTGTTATCAGGAAATAAATCAAAACCATGTCAATTATTAATATTCAGATTTGAAACATCATTCAGCTGATATTGTATCATGACATGTGTGTCTAATTCTTTTAGGAGAACACTGGATAATCTCTTGCTTTAATGTGCAGTAATAAATCAACTCAAAATGTTTAATCGCAGGGAACAACTACATGTAGTTAGATAACAAGATACATGTAGGCCTACACTTAATAAATTGGAAATATTCAGTTACTAAACCATTTACCCTTTCTTTTATTAAATAACTGTTTTAATGTGTACTACAATTTTACATTTACAATCATACTGTCACTGTGTCACTTTCAAGATTAGCAGTCTGATAGTGATACTAATGATGCACATGTTTATTCATTCAAACATGAATGTAGGAACACAATGAATACCGGTGCATGTGTTGTAGGCCACCGATAAGGTCATCAAGTGTGTCATGAAACATTATGTGAACTGCTTAGGTGGTACACAAATCAAAATACAAGTAATTGTTCTAATGAGTTTATAAAATATAACAATTTGGCACTTAAACTGATATTTCATAATATATAGCCTACACAAATATGTAGGCAATCCATACAGTGTTAAGACATTAATATATTCAAACACAACTTTAAACACCCACAAATTATACATGTACATTGAAGGCTTTGCACTGCTAGCCGTTAGCAACAATCTAGTCCGTCAAACCGACTTTATTAAATAAGAAGCCGAGATATCTCACTCTGCATGCTAGCTCCTTGACTTAACAAGACACCACCACCAATGTCTTGACTGCCCCTAGTGAGCTGTCACCATGGTAATCATAGTCGCTATGGCAACCCCGTAACACTGAATAGGGCAGAGAGAGCGCTAGGGTGAAGGATCAAGGAATAATAGCATAGGGAGACAGCATGCTAGGCATAAACACATGGTGTGGGGTTGTTTACAACATTATCTGATCTGACATTTCAAGTTCATGAACATGTAACGTAGCATACTACAGTACAAGTACAAATGTGACACATGGTAGAGTGAGCGTGATGAGGAGTATAACGTTATACATTAGCCAGCGGATCTGAAGTCTAAATCAACTACTGTACATGTATCATTATTATTCATTCCCTATTTCCCATAATATAGGAGATAAAAGTACTGTATTTTTGTTATACCTTTCATGATTATCGGCATTCATACATGTAAATGCAACTTTAAATGGTATTTTTGTCAGTTCTTTTCATTTGTTATTATTATGAACATTCAACATAAATCTGACGTCATACCATTATTGGTTGATTTCACATGCTTTGTAAGCCTAAGGCCTAAGGTCTAGATTGTGTGTATCAAGAATGGGTATTGTACATGTACATGTAGGCCTACATTAGAGAAACATTATGAAATAAATTGGTACCATTAAACCATCCAATATCAGTAACAACATCATCATCAACACCATACTATTATCATCACCACTGTCATCGTCATCACAACAATCATCATCATCATATTCATTGCTGTGTTCAACATCATCATCATGCTCATGATCATCATGATCATCTTCATCATCATCAACCAGATAGAAAAGATACTACTTACAGGTACATAAACCTTACTTGAAGAGATTCTCAGCTCCAGCTCTCATCCTCATCATCTCTTTATTGATCTGCTGGTTGTTTCAATTATCATCATGTTCATCATTATGTTCATCATCATCATCATCTTCATCATCATCAACCAGACAGAAAAGATACTACCGGTAAGATAAACTTACTTGAATAGATTCTCAGCTCCAACTCTCATCCTCATCTCTTTATTGATCTGCTGGTTGTCTCAATTATCATCATGTCCATCATTATGTTCATCATCATCATCATCATCATCATCAACCAGATAGAAAAGAAACTACCGGTAAGATAAACTTACTTGAATAGATTCTCAGCTCCAACTCTCATCCTCATCTCCTTATTGATCTGTTGGTTGAGTCTTTGTCTTCTATTCTGCATCTTGCTTCTCATCGTCTGATTCAATGGATCACAACCCTGTTTGATGACGAGAGAAACATTGAACATTGTCATTTCAAATCAACTCATCTGATTCAATGGATCACAACCCTGTATGAAACATTGAACATTGTCATTTCAAATCAACTCGTCTGGTTCAATGGACCACAACCCTGTATACTATGAAACATTGAACATTGTCATTTCAAATCAACTCGTCTGATTTAATGGATCACAACCCTGTATGATGAGAGAAAACATTGAAGATTGTCATTTCAAATGAACTTTGAATTCATGAGGCTTTGTGTACTTTACTTACAGTGTGATTTAAAGAATCTATTGGAACACCAAAACTTGCTCTTTTGTCATTTCATAAGGAAACGTTTGACAATGAGGTTTTCTTTCTCTTGATTTCCAGTAATACCATGCATACTACATATACAGCCCATGCATACATATACAGCCTTTACATATGTTGTATGCATTTAAGTGTTTTAATCAACTAACATTCTGTAACTGAAGAAGCACACATCGTTTCTTCTTGTACATTGCATTGTATTTACACATGTAGATGTACGTACATGTACATGTACCTTTACATGTACAGTACATGTAGATATACAGTACAAGTTCACCATTCAATAACATTTAGTCCTGATACAATACTCTATATTAAATACAGGCGATACAATTGTGTCTTGATGATACAAAATACTACTGTAGAATCAATATCTGTACATGTAAAATTTTCAGATTTAAAAAGCAAAGTCATAAAATAGATATTAGTGCAGGAACTTACCTGTACATGTACATTCAATTGCAGTGAATATTATTCAAAATGCCCTGTGCAATATATACAGTATTTAAATTTTCCATATCAGGTAATCAAGTAGACTTTGACTGATTTGCCATGTAATGTAGAACTTTGGAGTTTGTACATGACGCATCCATGCACACCCATCATGATGTGGTAGTAATGACCTTTAAACGTCGTACAAGTATATTAGCTGTTGGAAGCCATAAGGGAGTTAAAAGAGGTGATAAAACTCATGTACTTTGAGACACAGCTAAGGCCCTTATGACTCAAAAGTCAAAACAAACGATACATGAATTTTGTGCGTGCTTTATCATATTTTTAAGTAAACTTCAAAAAGCAATGAGGACTAAAAACTTGTGTACCTTATCAGCATGAGAAATTAGTTTCTGTTTGATAGAATGGTCCTAGAAAACATTGACATTGAGTCAGCTTCATGTACACCTGTACCTGTATGTATTACATTTGTTATATAATTTAAGTACAGTCTTGAAATCAAACATTATCAAATATTTTATTTAAATAGTAGACAACACTTTTTTGACAGTCCCAACATCAAGTATAATCACAACGCTTACCGGTAGTCACTTGCCTGAACGTAAACATGCAATTAAATTTGTATAGTACTACTTTGACACATTAGAGAATTCTAGTTAGACAGCACTCATTTGAACTGTTTTGACAGGTTCAATATTCAATTTTTACTTACATGTACATGTACATTCCAAACTTACTGATTGAATCAGAAAAAGAATATACTAGACTATTTCTGAGAAAGCCTTTTTCAGAGTGCAAATTCAGGTGCACTATAAAGTTAGAAAAAGAATGCTATTTTACCACTCACATGCATTTTCCCCTTGACAATATCCATTCAGTAGCAACCACTCAAAAAATAAAGATTACAGAGCAGAAGTTCTAATATTCCTGTTAAACCTAGCTGTACAGCCCTAAATGCAGAAGTTCCTGATGATAATGTTGTTGTAGGCCTACTGTAATCGCTGCCTAAACTGAATACAACTGTGTGCATCGTAAATTGGTTGACAGACATTCTGGTCAGCAAAATTGACTAAATTCCTGTCATCCGAAGCGTGACATATTGTTTGCAAATATATGACATCATCATCTTCCTCTATCAACACACCCCATGAGAATTTTCAACACAAATCCCCCCCCCCCCCCCAACACACACAGCAAAACAAGATTTTTTTTAATCAAATGTTTTCTTCTTTCTTGTTTTATCAGATTGTTGGAATACTATGGATCCTAGAATCGAATTGAGAATGATAAAACAGTCCTGACAATGATTACAAAGGGGGGGGGGGGGGAGTATTATTGTGTGTTTAGAAATGCAGAGTGGATCTGAAAGTAAACAAAATATTTGCACCATAAACAATTTTTGTTTTCTTTCATTAGTTTTAAAGTGTGTGTGGGATTTATCAAACTATAAATACAATTACATTTAATAACATTTAGACAAAACATTGAAATTTATTTCAGAGCACCTACATATATATCTCAAATTTGTCTGCTTAAAAAAAAAAAAATCACATCAGGGAATCTCCCTTTAAAAGCACAAGGCAATACCATAGAATCCTACACAAAACTTGCCCTTGTCAAGTTTTGTGAGTGGTTGCCAGAACCTGCTATTCCCAACTAGGGTGTTAACACTTAAAGGATTTTTACAAAATCTATTTTCACCCCTATCAATCCATCTCACAAACTATCAGTCTGCTCCAAATAATCCCTTAATGAATGGATGTCTTAAGTTACAAGGTGACTCTTCATATTAGGTAACCTGATCTTAGCTGATTGAGACTGACTGATCCAAATTAAGCCTTCTTTAATCTTGACATTCTAGGAAACTTAATCAGTAAGCACAAATTTAGTTAACAGATCAAGTTCCACTTTGAGCTAAAGATATCTGAAGGGTTGTTTATTTATAGATGCATTTACAAGGCAAGCAAAAATAAACAATTTTTCTCACTTTCTGTTGCTAAGCAACTACAGGCAAACACAACAATAAACAACAAATAGAAATATCCACCTTTAGTTGTGATGCCATATACATGTATGTAGGCCTACAGTATAACAGTGCATTGCCTATTTCTCAATGCTAGCTTAACCTGTTGACTACTGAACTCATTCCCATATTTATGCAATGTACATGTACATGTAATAGTTAATACAGGATTTACCTGTTTTCCATCTATAGGCAATTGCTTAATTTGATCTTACAGGTACAGTACAAGAACATCAAAACTTATGAAACACTCTGGACTAGCATAAATACTTTTGAGAAAAATGTAATTAAAAAAAAAATCTTTCAGATGATTTTAAATTTAGTTATAAAATATTTTTTGTTTAACAATGGTTTCTACTTTTTAAAATTATAACAATATCTTGTTTCAATCAGGAATTTCATTAAGAGGAAACTGGATTGCTTAGGCTTTTCAAAACCTTGAAACATGCACAGCTGCTTGGAGTTGTGTTTTTTACATTAAAATGTTCCAGACATAAGGGTGTTGTGCTGATGCTACATGTAGCGTGATGATATGCATCTGTTTTAACTATTACAAAATAGTGGCTACATTCAATGTCACCGTCTACTCAAGAATCAAGGTTTTTAACAGGCTGTAATCTTTCCGGTAGGCGTGTAACCTTCATGCTACCCACAATATTGAATCATATAGAAATAACACTTTTGGTTAGGAACAAAGACTGAACGTACTGTAGTAACTGTAAAGCATCAAGATTTGTAATACATGTAGGAGGAAAATACCAACTTTCCTATGGCACTGTTTCACTGTTTCCCATTTAGAGAAATGGTTTGATGATGGACTTCAAATTAGATATTTTATAGGGGGGAAGTTCACCCTGATAACACATTTAATAAACTAAAAGCACAAACATAAGAAAAATGGGTGAGGGAAGGTTTGAGAAATAATTGAGGTTTTGAAAATACATCTGTAGACCCTATACTATAGCAGGTATAGCGTCTACATAAACAATAAGACGGAACTTTGTCAAGATATTCTACCTGTACAAAATGGCAAATTGACAAAACCCTGTTTTCTTTTGCAAGTTCTATCTGCTTTGTATGGACCTTTTCTAACACTTTTTTTTTCTCTCAAAAGAATGAACTTCTCAGACCTTGATCTACTAGTTATACAGATGATAATTTGTTGTTGACGTAAAACTAAAGGTAATTTAAAGTTGAAAATCAGCACTGATGTGAAAACAAAGGAATGTGTTTTAGCCAATATCAAAAGCTAAATATCCATTGGCAAAGAAACTTCAAAATGAGACCAAAGTCATGCTAATTGAGATATTCTAAGGATAATAAAAAAATTAATGACAACCCCGGTACCCATGGCATGCATCGCTCATAATGTATGCAGTATGCACACAGGTCACACGAATGTGTTAGTGAATAAATATGAATAAAAAGACCCGAATTAGCAGGTGCCGAGGATTGATTGACTTTATAAACGAAATGAATATATCATTATCATGTATATGTAATTATACTCCTTTGTCAAATTGTTAACTTTTGCCTAGAGTCAGAGTAGGTCTAGATCTAGATCTGGAATCTCTACATAGATCTAGGTCTACTAGATCTACAACTACATCATATGTATGAGATTGAGATTGAGATTCTAGATCTACACTGTATTCTATTGTGCAGTTTCCTACATCACTAAAACTTTCCTATAAACTGATAATGCCTATGACATGAATCAGCAAAAATGTCAGCAATAAATGAGGCGGATTTAAAGGAATGTCATCACCAGGCGTTCACGGTCATGCAAAAACGACTCCACCCACTAACAACATCACGCAACAGCCACCGTTAACCGTCGCCAAACGCACGGCTGCTCAAACAGTGGCATGTACCGTAGAAACCGCAGCCGCGAATTCGAAATCTTGAATCATCGAAACTCTCAAGAAAGAAATGAGATGCCTTACCTTTCTCCTCGGTGGATCGTTCTCCTGATCTCCAACCCTAGTGTCGATAATCTCCATAATTCAAAATCTTTCCGATGATTCGGTGGTCTTAAGATCCAACAAGAAACAAACAAAATAGTAGTATTTTAAATTGTTCGGGAGATGAACACCGTCCGTCGGATATCTGTCGCAAGCATTAAGCACTGCACTGCACCCTCGACCTCCGCGCTGAATACGTGCCTTCACGGTTGTTTCATCGCAAAGCATGCCGGGACATAATTCTAGTCCATTTTCACCTTCGCCGTGATATCAGCTGTCCTGTTGCAAACAACGGGATTCGTATCGAATCAACATCATAATCTTGTACATAGTCCGCTATTCTGCAGTGATTTTCTTCCAATCCAGTATCATTTGTACGGTAAGAAAACCAAAGTTTGTGATTATTCATTTTTACGACTAATAAAGCTGATAATACGACGTAATGAGAGTGGGCCGAGATCCAACTTAAGTAAATGTAGGCCTAGATGATAGATCTAGTCCCGTATGTTCAAATGTGTGTGCATTTTAAGTAGACTGATTGTCTTTTAAGCTGCTTAAGTACACTCGTCTCGTGTTTTAGGTAGAAATGTACAGTAATATGAGATTTATGTCTCATGAAATATGAATAGACTTTCTAGATCCTATAATTGATAATGGAATAGGGTCTACTAGAATGGCCGACAGTTAGGCCTAGAAAGTGATTGCAATTAGACTCTAAGTGTAAAAAAGTAAAAGAGGCCATGAAAATGATAGATTTGTCGATCTGGATCTGGATATAAATTCTGATATCGATGAGCTCAACTTGAGCATCTACGTGTTGAAGAAGTGATAAGGATTCTTTTGTTACAATCATTCTTGTGGTCACGAACTTAATATGATTGTCTTTTCCCTTATATTTATCAGTTGCAGCATCATCGAACACGGCCGATGAAACAGAAGATAACGTGCATGTAGATGTTACGAGAGAGCTCATTTCACAATGGACAACAGAAGTGTTACGTGACTTTCTACAAGGAGGGGACTCAAGCTTGGAAATCGAGTACCGGTAGTCATTATTTTATGGCTGTTCTCTGCCTTGACGCGGTAGCTGTTCAGCCATCCGAGGTAGACACTGTGAGGAACTGGACAATGGATGGATTGGGGGGGGGGGGGTGGGGGTAGGCATGCAGAACTGGCCTACTATGTTTGTATGTACCTACTGGATAAGGACCCTCCATCACTAGAGGGAAAAATAATGAGAGACTACAAAGAGGGGAAGGCATATAGTTATTTTGCCCCTAAAAAAGTGTTCCTTCGGGTATCAAATGACGACGGGTGAAACCTCACAGTTGTAGAATTATTATCTGTAATGTGATTTCCAAACCATGTGACAGCAAATGGTGTGTGGTGTATGTTGTAAAGGTATTGTAAAATGCATTGTTTAACAATGTATAACAATGTTTAAACCGAGATGGACGTATGGCCCTACGTGCTACCAGTGTCTGTGATATGGTGTATTAATACTGAAGCCCTAACAAAATTGTGCTTCAAAATGATCAAGAAGTGCCTCTAAAAAGTAAAAATCTTTGTTTGACCCCTTTTACCATACTCGTTTTCCCCAATAAACTGTAGTGTTATGAAAACCGTTTGGCAAACACAAAATTTGGTTTTGATTTCCAATCGTAAATATCTTGATAATCAGACAGGCGATCGGATTGTAAAAGTCATTGAGTTCCTGACTGACCTAAATTTATCATTGCAGCATGAGCTAAATCCAGGATTTTGTTTCAGAATCTGAGAGTAAGTTACCCGATCCCTTTAAATGTGTTTGCATTAAAGGTGGTACCCCCCCCCCCCCCCCCCCCTTCTCAGCAAAAGTCCAGTGTGTAAAGTCAATACGGGCAGATCTTTTTCTTTGTTACGAGCCAGTGATTTTGGGAACACGCATGCGGTACCTCCGTTCCCGTTCCTGGAGGGGGGGGGGGCCGGGGGTGGTACTACTTCTTCATAAGATGTCAACTTATATGCATTGCATTAAACCTGTTAATATTGATCTAACTTGTATTCATCTCATGGTTATATTTATTTTATCAATAAAATAAAACAACACAGAGAAGGTTGTAGATGAGTACTAAGCAATCATTACTGTATGTAGGACGCCGAGTTGAAGTTATTCATGATTTATTCAAGAGAGGAAGGTCAGACAGACCTGATGTTTTAAATATTTAACGAGAGAAAAATCATAGAAACAGAGAGAGGCATCGAGAGAGATGTCGACGCTTAATGAAAGAGAAAGAGTGATAATGAGAGAGGAGAGAGAAAGAGACAGAGAGGGGAGGGAGAGATAGAGAGGGAGAGCAAGAATTAGGTGTGAAGAGGAAGATCTAAGAGAACAAGAGATTAAATTTTACAAATGTACACGTTTCCATGTACCTTTACTTAATTTATATTATAATGTAAACGATATTGTGATGGTCTTTGCTTAATTTTAGTTTGCATTCTTTCCTTTAGCTTTATCTTCTAATTTACTATTCTAATTTAGTAAATGTTAGTATAAATATAATTTTGATTTCTATCTCTTCCCCGATGTCATAGCCTCCATTCTTGCTCTCCCTTCCTCATGTTAGTCCATCTCTCTTTCTCTCTGTAATGATAACCCCTCTATCAATCTTTTCTCCATCAACTCATGATATGTTCCTCCTCTTCTCCTTCTCGTTCATCATCACAATCATCATCATCATCTCAAAACTGTATTAATCAATCTATAAGACTCTTTAGATTGATCAATACAGTTCTTATAACATATGACCTTTATGTACAAACAATAAACCAAATGGTCACAATCATTTAATAAAAAGTGGTAAGAACAATTATTCCAACTCTATGGGCAACAACGTAATCTCCATTTTCTCCTCCTCGTTCAAATATTAGCTTCTTTTTCATTCTTTACTCGTGTTACTTCTCTATCTCTCTGACTATACTCACAAGAAAGTAGAATCAACGGTTTGACATGAAACAGTCTAGAAAATGAACTAAATTTATTCAAGTATCAAATGATTTTGAATTACAGACAGCTTTCTCCCACGAGATGAAAAAAATATCTCCCTAACCAGAAACTGGCAAAATAACTAAATGCCTTTCCCTCTTTGTAGTCTCTCATTCTTCCCTCTAGTGATGGAGGGTCCTTATCTACTAGGTACACACAAATGTCTCTATACATAGTAGACGACCAGCTCTGCAGTCTGCATGCCTTTCTCCCCCCCCCCCCCCCCCCCCCCCCCCCGCCCCTCTCCATCCATCGTCCAGTTTATCTCTACCTCGGATGGCTGAACAGTACCCCCAGAGTCAAGGCAGAGAACACCCATAAAATAATGACTACCGGTACTCGATTTCCAAGCTTGAGTCCCCTCCTTGTAGAAAGTCACGTAACACTTCTGTTGTCCATTGTGAAACGAGCTCTCTCGTAGCATCTACGTTATCTTCTGATTCATGGGTCATAGTGTTCGATGATGCTGCAACTGATAAATAAAAGGGAAAAGAAAATCAAATTTAAGTTTGTGACCAAAGAACCCTCATCACTTCTTCAACACTAGATCATGTAGCAGACGTGTATGCAGGAGGGAGGGAGTTTCGGGGGTTGAACCCCCCCCCTCCTCCAATTTTGTTTGGACTATGTGTGTGTGTGTTTTTGAGGAAACCCCCCCTCACTTTTTTAATAACAAAAATAAATTAAACATTTTTTGTGCTAAAGGGTGACCCAAAAAAGGTGACCTTACCCCCCACCAACTGAACAAAATATCGGTCTCCCAAATTTCATATTTTCGGGGAAAAAAAGAAGGAAAAAAAAAGTGCTCTTACCACCCCCCGGCTTATTCACCGGCTGGCCGAGTCGTTGTGAAATTGACTGCGTGATTTTCAAATTTTACCCCCCCCCCTCGAAAAAATCCTCCGTACGCCCCCGTCATGAAGATCCTCAAGTAACGTTAGAGCTCATTGATATCAGACTATTATATTCAGATCCAGATCTATCGTTTCATGGCCTCTTTTACTTTCTTACATTTATAATTTCTAATTGCAATCACTTTCTAGGCCCAACTGTCGGCCATTCTAGTAGACCCTATTCCATTATCAATTATAGGATCTAGAAAGTCTATTCATATTTCATGAGACATAAATCTCATATTACTGTACATTTCTACCTAAAACACGAGACGAGTGTACTTAAGCAGCTTAAAAGACAATCAGTCTACTTAAAATGCACACACATTTGAACATACGGGACTAGATCTAGGCCTACATTTACTTAAGTTGGATCTCGGCCCACTCTCATTACGTCGTATTATCAGCTTTATTAGTCGTAAAAATGAATAACCACAAACTTTGGTTTTCTTACCGTACAAATGATACTGGATTGGAAGAAAATCACTGCAGAATAGCGGACTATGTACAAGATTATGATGTTGATTCGATACGAATCCCGTTGTTTGCAACAGGACAGCTGATCACGGCGAAGGTGAAAATGGACTAGAATTATGTCCCGGCATGCTTTGCGATGAAACAACCGTGAAGGCACGTATTGGATTCGCTCCTCTAAACTCACCGCACTTGGCCTTTTATTCGAGTGCGTACAATATGCATAGGGGTAATAAGACAGATCGAGATACACCTGTTTCGAGTGGGAGCAGAGCCCTCTGCTCTAGCGCCATCTTTCAACAGAAACATTATATTTCCTTCATAGAACATAATTTTATGGGCTGATTCGATCATATTTTTCAATTTTATCATAGGCCTATAAAACAGGTCTTGAAGAATGGGGAGGAGTGGAGTATTGGATTGTTTTGTTGTGTTCATTTTTTTGGATGCATGGGCCTAAATTGGATGATGGAACAGAAGATGAGTGAAATATACTTGCTCTCTCTCTCTCTCTCTCTCTACCCTCTTTCTCAGCTAGGGGAGCTAGATGGGGATTAACAGAAACTCTGATAAATTCGACCTTTTTGTATGCTTTCTTCGTTAAAACTAATCAATTGATTTGGTCCTCTAATAACCAAATAAACGGAAAGAAAAAAAAACATTTTGATACATTTATTTTATGCCACTAAAATCCTAGGCCCTTAATCCTGGTTGAGAGCGTGGCTGCAGCTAATGTAAATTGATATTTTGTTAGTTTTTATTTTTTTTTTTAAACAAAATACAAATACCAAAAAATT